CCAATTTCTCCTTCAAATGTGAAGTTGACTTCTGGTGCAGTATCTTGTCCCATTAGAGGGTAAAGTACTTCAGCTGTGCAGTTCAGTGTAACTTGTTTTTGGATAATTTCTTCCACAGAAAATTAAGGCAATACTTGTGTCCTCTTCCCGGAATATCCTCCATGCTGGCTTGTTTGATAGTCTGCACCAGAAACACCTTGTGGGGGGTCCCCTGCTGGTAATTGATGCAGTTCTCCGCCACCGAGGCTGCCCTGGAGGCTGGGAAGTGGGTCGGGGGGATTTCCATTCTTGGTGGGAGCTTACGGCTGCTCACGTTGAAAGGGACCAGACGGTACCAGTGCACCGCCGGTTCAGCCTCCTCCTGGGTGGCGAGACGGAAGAGTCGGAAGAGTCCGGTTGAGGTTTATTTTTATTATTTGTTTGATAATTTTTCCAATTTGTGATTCTAACTTTGTTATAAATATAATTTTACTGTCACTGTCATTATGTGGCAAAGAGTTTATAAGGAGAACAAGAGATATATCAGCTCTTTTTCTTATTCACTTTTGCTTGTGTTATTAGTTTTATCTTTGATCTATGGTTTTGCAAGAATATGGGGGGTTTTTTGCAGAAAAATACTTGTTTTTATTGTGGGATAATTGACATTACATTGTGTAAGTTTAAGGTGTACTATGTATTGATTTGATAGATTTATATATCGCAATATGATGGCTACCATAGCTAGCTAACACCTCCATCAATCACATAATTGTCATTTCTCTGCTGCGGTGAGAACATTTAATATCTAGTCTCTTAGCAATTTTGAAGTATATGATACAGTGTTGTTGACTATAATCATGATGCTGTGCATCAAAACTCCAGAACTTATTCATCTTCTAACGGCAAGTTTGTACTTTTACTGACATCTCGATTCCCACACTCCCTAGCCTCTATAACCACTCTTCAACAGTTTCTACTAGTTTAGCTTTTTAAATTTTTTCAAGTAGGCACCATTCTCAACATGAGGCTTGAACTAACGACCCTGAGATTAAGAGTTGCATGCTCTACCAACTGAGCCAGTCAGATGCTCCTAGTTCCGCTTTCTTAGATTCCACATATAAGTGATACCGTACAATATTTGTCTTTATGTGACTTAATTCACTCAACATAATACCCTCAAGGTCCCATCCATGTTGTTACAAATGGCAGGACTTCCTTCTTTCTCATGGCTAAATAATAATATGTTTATATAAACCATTTCTTCTTTATTCATTCATCCATTGATGGACACTTAGATTGTCTCTGTATCTTGGCTATTGTTAATAACAAACAGCAGGAAAATACTTACATACCTCACAAACTCCCATGTTTGACAGATGATTGAATAATCAATTTAGCTTCCTAGGGATATAGCATTGCTATTAAAACAAGTTAAATCATAAAATATTAGCAGTAGAAGAAATTTCTACATCATCTAGTCTAGGGGTCTGCAAGCCAAATCAACTCTCCACCTATTTTTATTTTTTTTAAAGATTTTATTTATTTGACAGAGAGAGACACAGTGAGAGAGGGAACACAAGCAGGGGGAGTGGGAGAGGCAGAAGCAGGCTTCCCGTGGAGCAGGGAGCCCAATGTGGGGCTCGATCCCAGGACCCCGGGATCATGACCTGAGCCAAAGGCAGACGCTTAACAACTGAGCCACCCAGCTGATCCTCCACCTATTTTTATAAATTAAGTTTTATCGGCACAAAACACACTCAGTCATTTACATATTGTCTGTGGCTGTTCGCACTTTTTTTTTAAGTTTTTATTCAAATTCCAGTTAGTTAACAGACAGTGTAATATTAGTTTCAGGTGTACAATACAGTGATTCAACACTTGCATACAACACCTGGTGCTCATCACGACCAGTACCTCCTTCATCCCCAGCACCCATCTAGCCCATCCCCCCATCCACATCCCCTCTGGTCACACTTCAGTGTGTTCTCTGTAGTTCAGAGTCTGTTTCCTTGTTTGCTTCTGTCTAAGAATATGTTTTTGATTAGTCATATAAAAAGCATAGAAAAAATGATAAGAAAGATCCACATGCCCACTACTCACCTTAAGTAATAAAACATTGCACATACAAGGGAGGCACTACAAAAGTCTTTTTTAGACTCTTCCATCTTGTGTGGACTCACTCAGATGCTGTGAGATAGCCATACATCCACTAAGCAGGCACACGTAACATTTAGTTAGATGACAGGAGGCAAGAGAGCCTGGCGACTGATAGCAGTGCCGATCTCTCCCGGAGGACCCGTACTGTTCTCCCAGAGACGGTATTTACCGTAGGCAGTCTACAACCATCAACCTTGCAAACGGACAAGCTGCCAGGGTCAACCACATAGTAACATGGTGACGTTTAGTTTCTCATGTGTAGATAATAAGCAGAAAATGGAATTGTAGTCTGTTCTTCCCACACAGCATGATGTGTTTGACTATCCTCCTGGCATTCCGGCAGCACACTTGGGAGGCCACTGGTCAAAACTATAGACTCCTCAGAAGCAGAAATTTTGTTTAATTCATTATTTTAACTGTGCCATGCATGGTACATATAACAGAAGCTCAGTAAGAGTTTTCTGACTGAACGGAAGTAGGGTTTTCTGCAATGTTTGAAGGTAACTCGTGAGTTTGTGCATATAACATACGCATGTTAATTTTGACATTTTGTTGGCATTGTTTAAGGCTCTACTGTTGTAAGAAGAAAGCAAATTGTTGAAAATAAGCAGAGAAGCCTTTTAGAACAGAAAAGACAAAACTCTGGATCTGCAGGAAAGAAGTGCAACGAGCAAATGAACGTAAGTACGGTGTTAGTAACAATGTCTATTCAGTAGTGAAAAATTGCTTGGAAAACAGAATGTTCTCAAAGGACTGTGCTTTTGCTGTGAAGTGTGCACCACAACATAAATATAAATATGCCAAGGTCATTAAGCAGCAGTGCAGGAATCTCTACCCTAGGAGCTTACTGTACTAGACTTGTTTGCTATATTCTCTTTGCTGTATGATCAATTACTAATGAAGATTTTCAACCAACCTTAACAAATCACCATTATGCTTTTCTTTATTATTTATACACGTTATTTGCAACAAAGTTTTTAAGTATACATAAAAAAAGAAAAACAGAAAAGTAAATGAGAGCCCTGGATAGAGGAAGTAAGTGTGTTAATCATAAAGACTAGTCAGGTTCTTATGCTTAAATATCCTCTGTGGATCTGAGCTTCCTGGAAGTTCTGGCAAAAGGTGCATCGTTCTCAGGGGTCACTGATAATGATGGTGTTTGAGGTGCAGCATAGGAAGAGACAGCTCCCCCTGAGGCCCTTCTGTGGGGTGCCCAGAGCTCATAATGGATGGACACCTCTTCATAGTCAACAGCAGACAAATCAGGAGTTTCATATGGCCGTTTGAGATAGAGATCTTCAGTAAAAGTCAAAAGCTTAATAAAAGTCATTTTAAAGTTAGTGGAGGTAATCCTGTGAGAGCTAAGTAAACGTGACCTAAATATTGACATTTTCTGGACATCTAACCTCATCCAAGGATTGAATTTAAAATATTAAATCAGGAGCACCTGGGTTGAGCGTCTGCCTTCGGCTCGGGTCGTGATCCCAGGGTCCTGGGATTGAGGCCGACATCTCCCTCTCCTGCTCCCCCTCTTTGTCCTCTGTCTCCCTCTCTGTCAAGTAAATAAAATCCAAATAAATAAATAACTAAACTATTAAAACATCTAGAGGGATGAGTAAATAGCATTTCACTTGGAATTTCTACTCTAAATAGCACTTCCAATTTTTTATAGCAGTGAAATAGAGTGCCTTATGAAGAATTTATATCTGACTTATGAGTTGAGGATTCTATTATTTGTATATTGTAGGAACTATTGTTTTATATAGATAAGATTTTTACTATGGAGGAAAATCAACCATGATATATCCTTAACAGCAAGACAAAGTCATTTAGTTCTGTACGATGTAAATAAAGCTGCCGCATGACCATGCTATTCTTAATGCTTAATAGCCCAGCACTCACTTACAGACCCACCTTCCTGAAGGTAAATACAGTACTGCCTAAGAAGGCCTTCCTCTCAACCCCCATGTTGCTCACAGCAAACATCTCAGAATCTGTCAAGTGAACCAGAGTTTATTTGTATAAATAGATTTTAAACGCTAAAGCAATATATAGTTGTTATAACAACAACAAAAATGAAGTAAACTTGAAGTGCTCCTGATGAGTGCGCTCTCTAAATTCATCTTTATCTTTTGGGGGTCTTCCTCTGTCCGTGTGTGCCCCTTTGCACACTGTCTCCCTGGTTTTGAGCCCGTATGTGTTTTTCTTTCCAGAAGCCCCGTGTCCACCTTCCACTCACACACCTGCTTAAACATCTTCCACGGTCTCGTTACCTTTAGAGTAGGTCAGTGTTCCCCAATCAAAATCAAGATTTGAAGTTTAAGTTTTTCAGCCCTCTTGTTTTGTTTTGATTTTTGGGTTTTTGTTTCGTATTTTAACTAAAGAGCCTCCGCGGCGGTGCAGTTACTACAGCGATGGCCCCTGTCACCTGGTATTGGGAAATGTGTGTTATCGGTCCACGTGGAGAGAATCTGAGAGCCATGAAAGGGGGGAGGAGCAGAGTCCCACTGTGTGCCAGGACTGTGCCTCCCCGCCGGGACCCTCCATCTCCAGGGGAGGCCGGGCGAGGCCATGGGAGCAAGGGCGGCAGGGCTCTCGCACACACCTGCGCCAGCGACTCTTGGGGTCCGGCCGAGCACAGGCCAGGGGACAGGGGCAGTCAGGGGTAGTCGGGCCACCAGCCGCGCACGGGCCGCAGCAGCAGAGCCGGCCGCGTCCAGCCCGCCCGCAGAGCGCGGAGTGTGCCGGCGGCCAGGCCCGCGAGCATCCCCGCGCACAGCTCCGCGCGGGTCTGGTCCTCCGCACCAGTCCTCATCGGAGGCTCTGCCCTTACGGTGAAAAACCAACTAGGTCAGAAACCTTAAGGTAAATTGTTGCTGTTCCTTTGAGTAGCACCTTACTTCCCTCTTCCAAAGACCCAAGATAACACTGCAACCTGAAAATTTTCCAAAATTGACGTAAAACATTTTTTAAAATTTCAGGTACCCTAGAAACGCCTTATCCCCATAAGTCTTGATTTCTGCTCCAAGAAAAAGAAAATATACAGGTTACATGAGCAGTGATAACGGAAACTATATAGAAGGCACATGTTTTTTTAAATAAATGAATGTCATGAATATTTAAATATGGAAATCTATTCTGAGGTAATATTATATTTTTGTAGAATTTTGGGCAAAGTGTCCAGCTAAGTTCAAGTGAGCCAAAACACACTACGAGGGGTACTTCTGATGTTGAAGAAGGTATGTTTCGGTTTAAAATTTTTCTCTGAACTTTGTTCCCAGTGATTTCATTTTTTGTTATGTGTGTTTTCCCAAGTACATACATACTACATGACAGGTAAGCCATCATGTGGGATTCAAGCCCCTTATCCTGCACATTTAGACTGTTGCCAGGTTTGTTTATGCTAAGTAATAATGTACTGAACATCTTTCTACATGAAGCTTTTTCCTGACTTTTCAATCATTTCCATAAGACGAAGATTCCAGGAATCACAATTACACTATTTGACATGTCATTGGCACCTAATAAATATTTGTTGAACGAAACTCTGTGTATTAAATGAATACTGGATCAGAGGAAATAAGCATTATTACAGCTCCTTATGCAGATTCCAAAGTATTTTCCTGAGAAATAACGTTTAAAACTGTTCTGAGATGTATGCCAACTTGAGGTAGAATTATTTCTATGAATTGCTTACATGATAGGCAAAGAAATTGTGTTTTATTAGTTTTGAATTATTTATCTTTTATTAATAATATGCTTAATTATTTTTGTATGTATCTTTACTTCTGATGAATTGGTCCTTTGTATTGTTTTCCCCAGTAGATATTGGAGTTTTGGTATTTCCTTACTGATTTCTGCAAATTCTTTAAATATCAAGGGTCTATTCTTCATATTAGTTGCAAATGTTTTTATTACTTTATTATTTGCATTTTATTCCACTTATATATTTATACTTGGAATTAATTTTTTCATTCAACAAGTGATTGAGAGCTAATTTCCTGCCTACAACTAGATTTTGGATATACAGTAATGCATAAAACACACAAAAGTCTTGCCTTTCAAAAATTTAGTCTGTTAGGGAAGACTGCCCTTTAAATAAATACGTCTTTTAGTCTTTACTTAGTGATTTCTCCATTACTTTTAAAAGCAAAGAACCTTCCCAGTACAGAAATTCAGAAGCGTTTCTTTCTGTCTCCTCTAGATTGCTCTAATGGTTTCATTCCTTAAATTAAATAATTTCCTTTGAATTTGTTTAAATGGATGATGTACAGGAAAACTGCAAGTTGATTCTTTTATAAGCAGCAAGCTAATTTATTGAGTCATCTTTCCCTTCCCTCAAGACTTTGATGCTTCTTTGATCATATGTTAAATTCTTGTGTCTTCCTGGGTCTGTTCCTAGGCAGTCAGTTCTGTTCAGCCTGTCACTCATTTTCTAACTTTCCTTTCCTTTTATTTTACTCTTTTATTCATAACTTACCTTAATTGTTATTATAAAGACAATCTACTTCATCTTCTCTTTGAATTACCAATGGATAACAAAAACACAACACAAACATAATCTAAAGGTGATGCGTTTTTCTTTTAGCTCAGGTAACATGCTAGGGGTTTTCATTGCCTCCCTGCCATCATTTTGAATTTCTATTTTTTAATCAGGGATGGGAAAATGCTAGATACAGATAATCCTGATAAATAAAATGCAAAGTAACAAGATTTACTGGGTTTCTATTTGTGAAATGAATACATACAGACGCGTGTCAGTTAAGTAGGTATGTGGGAAGACCCCAAAGACAAAAAGGGATCAAAGAATAACTGATGTAAAGTTTCTGTAGTTTCAGATAGTACTTCGCAGTTTTTGATGGCTGAAAGCCTAGTGAAAGCTTCAGTGCCTGAGGATGAAATTCTCACTGTCATGAATAGCAAGCAGCTGCAGAAACCAAGTCTGGCTTTAAATAAGACCCAGCCATTGGACATCTCTGCACTCTCAGCTGAGGAGCAGAAGATCCTACAGTCCCTCAGTCGTCTCAATGAAAGGTTATACTGTGAGTATGAAAGAACACCTTTCATAAGAAATTTTATATTTTGTACTTAGACAATTTTAATTTAAAATTTAATTTAATTTAAAAATTGGAAATAAAAATACAAAATGTATCCAGATTATTAGCTACTTAAATCAAGTATATAACAGTTAAAAAATGTATTTGAGCAGGGGCACCTGGGTGGCTCAGTCAGTTAAGTCTTGATTTCAGCTCAGATTGTGATTGCAGGGTCCTGAGACTGAGCATGCCGTCAGGCTCCTCGCTCAGCATGGACTCTGCTTGAGGACTCTCTCTCTCCCTCTCCCCCTCGCCCCACTCACACGTATACACGTATCTCTCTCTCTCTCTCTCTCTAATATATATGTATATATTTCCCTATTAGATACTTTCACGCTTCACATAAAGGATTCTGCTTGAAGGTTGTTGGGTTTGTTTGTTTGTTCTTTCCTTTTGCCCGGACCCTTGCTGCTATTGTATGGACAGAAGCCCAAACACTGGAAAGGCAAGAGGTGACAAGTCTCTCAGCTTTTGTGCCTTACTAGCTAATAAGCGTCTCCTCTTTCCTGGCATACTCCCAAGAATGGAATTTCCTTTTGGTTTAAAAAAGAAGAAGAAGAAAGACAAATGGAAAGAAATGAAACCCCAGGATTTGAATAAAGATCGTTAGAGAATAGTCAAAGTATTAGGAATTCCTTCTTATCAACTTAAGTTTTATGTCAGTGTTTTTTAACCAAACTACTTCTGTTTCCTACCTAATATAAGTATAAACACTGTTTCTGGGCACAATAGAAAAAAGACTCTTAACTCAATTTTGAATATTTTGACATACCAGAATTTAGTATCTGATTCTTTAGTCATTCTTCTCGGTCAAATACATAACTAAATTGTTTTCGTATCATGGCATAATTCTTTCAGATGTACAAGAAGCCATTTGCAAGAATCCATCCATCAAAAACACCTTACAAATAATACCACTTCTGGTAAGTATTTTAAGAAGCTTTTTTTTCTCATTTTAGGAAATGTCATGATGTCACATGTAAGCATCCTGTATTGAAATTAATTTTTCTTGAGTTTGGCTTTTGGAGAGTTTTCCTCCCCAGTTAACTTTCAATTATGAGATGTTTTGTTAGAATCAGCAAATATCTTCTCATCTAAAAAGATCAGAATATAGAGTTTTTTTTGCACCCGGAGTATTTCATCATTCGTGGGAACAGCAACAGAGGTCAGTGAGCGTACTACTCCCCAGATAATTTGGGGTGTGCAGCCTAATTGGAAAATTGTCAAGAATTCTACCTTGGTAACGATCCCACCCTTGCTCCCATCCCTTTCATGTCTTCAAAGTTCAAAACTAGACATTGTTATTTGGAAGTTTTTTATTTTTTGCCTTGACAACTGAACTCTGGTAAAGATACACATATAAATGGTAATTTATTGCATTAAGGAATTTTCAGTCTAACAGGGAGAAAGAGCTCATGGAGAGTGTATACCAATCACTGTAATATGGCTTGAGACCATGTGTGGATGGCACAGCCTTAGGAAATCACAGAAGGAAGAGATCCTAGTGGCCATAGGTGACCAGAGACAGGTCTATGGAAAGGGCATCTGAGACTAAGATGCTACCTGTACCCTCACTGTCCTCAACATAGGGGTTTGACAAGGAAGCATTTTGTTAGAGAATTAACTGGATGCTTGCTCAGTTCTGAAATCTGGACGGGAAAAAATAAGATTACACAAGTCTACTTCATTTCTTACTTGCTGTCACATAAACACAATGATACATTTCTTAACCATGATTTAGATTTTTGCTATATCCTGGGTGTGGTGGTAAGTAACGAGAAAGAGGCTGTCCCCGCCCTCGTGAAGCTTTTTATTTCCCTCTGGGCAGACGGTTCTTGGAAACGGTCTTTCTGCTGAGGCGAGTGGTACAGCTCCCGTGGTGTCTGTCACTTTGGCCCCTGACAGTTGCGTGCACAGTTGCTGCCCACATGCCATTGTGGCTTTTTGCCAAGTTTTCATCTCCACCGATTCAGAAACTTAGGTAATTTTCGCAGTGATAATTTTTGTGTGTCTGAATTTGTGACAGTTTTCTGTTATTTATAACATAAATGGTTCTCACCTCACCTGAGTGAGATAATACCCACGGTGACGGAGATCACTCTTCTCTACACTTGAGCTCAACCTGAAAACTGTGTGCTGATTCCAGACTGCTAACGGAGCACCAACCATAAATACTGCTCAGTAAGGAGAGAAGGTCGCGTGTCCAGCAAAGCACTTGGCTGTGCATGTCGGTGCGCCGTGGCCTTGTACCACAGCAGCATCTGACTCCTAACGGAAAAGTTACCTGTGTAGATGAAGGACCACTGACAGGCTTGGCATCACTTTCATCTTAGATCTTTCACACTCCTTACGACAGTTGGTAACCATGAGCTTTCTTTAGTCCCTTTATCTCCAAACGTGTCACTCTTCTTCCTTTATCATCACTGACCTAGGTCAGAGGCCTTCATTTATTTTCAGGGCAAATGGTATACAATCACAGAATCATTAACTGCCGGTTTAAATAGCCCCCTCCCCCATCAGAATTACTTCATTTGCATGTTCTGCATGGGGATTTGAACATTTTAGTCTTGTTTGCCCTTTTTCTACTATTTTTATTCTTTTTTACTCTTCAGTTGGATTTACTGTTTGTTGACATTGTGTCATGCTTGCTTTATCCGATAGATGGAAGGGTGGGTGGATGGATGGAAGAATAGAATAAATAGAAGAGGAAAGGACAGGAGAGAGATTCATACACACACACACCGTACATTTCAGTGAGCTGTTTAAAGGCAGTTATACACATGATGATACTTTCCCACTAAATACTTAGCCGTACATGTTCTCTTAAGATCAGACGTTCTCCTGCATAACCACAGCACCATCATCACACCCAGGTAAATTAAGATTGATACACACGCCATATTCAGAATTCCCCAGCTCAAAACAAAATGTCTTCTCTGCTGCAGGATGCAGCCCAGGATTATACATTGTACGTGGATGTCTCATCTCTTCACTCTCCAATCTTTCATGCCCACTGACACCTCTGAAGAGTCTGGGCCAGGTGTCTTATTGACTGTCCCATGATGTGGAGGGTTCTGATGGTTTTCTCATTAGATATGGGTTAACATTTATGGTGGATGTCAAGTTTCAAAGTTTGTGTTCTTAGAGCCATTTTTCATTTTATCACCTGCTTGATTCTACCTGTATCTTCCTTCAGATTTTCTTTTTAGCTGCTTAAAATTTATTTTGAGTCCAGAAGATGAATGTCCAAGCTTTTAGAGTTATGGTTAAAGCACGAATAAATAAGTGCTTAGTGCCTCCCCTAGGAATATATAAAGTAAATGGACTTTAGATACTTTTTGGTCTTTTGTTTTCATCATGATAAGTATAGTGTTTAATCCCCATCACCTGGTCTTTGGAAAGCTTTCAAAATTTGTTCCTGTATCTCCATCACAATTTCAAATAAGTAAAATTATTTCATATGTATGTTCTAGAAAGGCAATTTGCAATCATATTCCTATACTTTCTGTGTATGACACAAGAGACCACCAAAGCTACCTTGTTTTTGTCAGGACACTTGTGGTATAGCCTAGTTCTCTCCATATAATGGCAGAAATATCTATTCAGGAATATTTGTGGGTTTGGAGATGTTTGTTGCAAGTAAGGTTTTTATTAATGTTTTTTATTTTATTTTACCTTTCCACTTCGATGTTTTCATACCCATATGAACTTATAAGATTTTTGTTTCCAAATGATAATATATGTCCTATATGTCTAGCTTTATAATTTACATGCACTATGTAGTTAACTCAGGAACTGAATTTCTCAGCAGAGCAACATTAATTATGTAATAAATCTACCAGGTACCCCAATACAGAAAACTCAAATGCCATTGGTTTAAGATTTGAGAATTTATGTTTAAGTCTCAAAAATTGTACATCTCTCTGGAAAATTCACAACCTGGGTGAAGTTTATATACTTATCCACCACCCTGCATGCCCACATGCGTGTTTTTGTTGCTAGTTTTTGTGTATTTCCCCAATTCTGTTGCCCTTTGTGTTTTTTCTCCCACGGAGTTTGGTGGTGTTGATTTGGGTTTCTCCTCTTAGGCAGAAAAGTGAACTGATATATTCATTCATGCTAAGGTATTTAGCATAAATTTTAAAAGATGACATCATTTTTTTAAATCATTCAGAAAGATTTAAAACCATTTAAATCATTTAAAAACAATATCTGGAAAGAACTCTGGTGAATTTCTAGTAGTGGGATTTTAGTGGGATTTAGGAATAATTTTGAGCAGGAGTCATTTCAGCATCTCTCACGCCTCAGGCATCAGCCAACTGGGCTTAGAGCCAGTGCTGTTCTGAGATTTCAGAGGTCCAGAATCCAGCCCACCCTTTCCTATTTCCTCCTGGCCATCATCATCCCCTGAGAGCACCTGTGAGGGTTCTGGGAGGCAATCGCTCCTGGAAAGCACTTAGCACAGAGCCTGTAGTACCGTTCCCGCGAACCACAGCTCAGTGTGCAGCATCATTACTGCCTCTATTATGATCATCTTATCTGTTCACATTGTCTCAAAAAAAGGAAACAGTCCTCAAAATACTTAAATGCAAGCTACATGCAGAGCATGACTTTCCCTTGTAACTAGTAGGACTCCCTCTGCCCGTTGATTTGTAGCAAACCCGTAGTCCCACCTGCTCTCTTCTTACACCATGGGGCTGGGGTTCCAGACAAGCCAGTCTCACTGGTTGTTCTCCAAGTCTGCAGTACTCTGTCCCGCCTGCATGCTTTGCTCATGCTTTGCTGCTGTTCGCGCCCACTTCCGAACTGCACTAGCTGGGCTTTGGCTCTGCTGCCCCAGTCCAGCCCTTCTAAGTGCCAACGTAATGACACTTCCCCCATGAAGCCCTCCATGACCAGTGTGGCTGACACTGACCACACCTTCCCCTGAACCTAGCACTGCAGTGTCGCTGGTTTTGTACTTACACTCCATAGGAATTTTCGTTAGCTGTCTTCTTACAAGATTAATCTTTGGAACTCTATTGTTGAGGCTGTTTTTCCACTTACCTGTTCACTTCATAGAAACTAGCACATACTAAATACTTGAAAATATTGGTTGAGACTGTGACTTTTTTATACATGGTCTTTGAATATAGATCATCTCCCTTTTTCAGACTGCAATAAAATGAGGTGATTTATTTGAACTTGAAACTTTTTTTTTTAATATTCTGAAGCAAGATTTTATGCTCCATAAAATAAAATACCACTATTTCTGGAGTTCTTCCAAAGTCCTTTGGTGAATGTTAATATTTAATCAATTAATCCTCTTTGGTGGCAACTGAACATTGTTGAGATATAATTAGAACAAAGGAAGCCCATTATGGGGTTCCTGCCACTGAGAAGTACTTGGCCAAATGGTTTCACACACATTCTCTTGTGTGATCTTCTGAGTGAGGAACATGAAGTAATTTTCTCAAGTCTGAGAAGTGTTCAGTGGCAGAGCCAGGATTGGCCCTTTCCCCTGTTCCTCCCAAAATCTCTTCTACCTTTTGTAATTCTTATTTCAGTTGAGGACACCATCCTCCTCCAGATTTCCAGGCTTCTCATTCTCCCGTAGCCCCAGGCAATAAACCCTCCTAATAATACTTACTAAGTGCACCTCAGATCCATCACGACTCTTCACGACTCTTCTGAGCGTGTCCTGGTCAAGAACGGATGGCGTCTTGGCTCCATATGTGCTGTCTCCAGCGCACCGTTCACACCATCACCAGAACAATCTTTGTACAGCGCGAATATGAACAGGTCGCATCGCTCTCCGGCCAGCAGCTACCCATCACCTTGGCCATGACGCACTCACGCCCTTCCTCCCCTGCATGTCGCTCACACAGCCCAGAGCCACAGATCGGTCTCCCAGGAACTCCCTGTGTCCTGCCACCCCCTGCCTTTCCCCGCCCTGGCCCCCCGGGACCTGCCCTCCTGCTGGCCTCTCTCTTGCTCCTTCTCCACGCTGGACTTCAGTGCTGTCCCCTCTGGGAAGGCTTATCCAGCCCAAGTTTTATCCTGTCCAAAACCTACAGCTTCCTCTTTTGGGCAACCGTAGCAGTCTGATGTTTTGTTTTCGTCGAAGTTATCACACTGGCCAGGCACTCTGCGAGCTTGGGGGGAGAACGAGGGTAACACGCTCCTACCTTCGAGGCTCTTGCGCCTGCAGGGACAGCCCACAGACCCCGGAGCCCAGTAGGCCTGCTGCAGGGCGTCCGGAGATGTGCTCTTTCCGCCTAAAAATTGTGAATGTTAGAGGCACAATTTTCATTATGGAATATTTTATTTCCTTTGTAAAAATGAATGTTATGAATTTAATGAATTTTAACAATTGCCCTCCCAAGCAACTTAACTTCTTCAACCCAATGAATGTTGTTAAACTACTCCTAGGGTGTTCTACGAGCTGCTGGTGCTTCTCTTAGAACATAAAACTACTCATTCTGACCATTTACACAGCAGATGATGACAAAAAGCACCTCCTAAGCACATTTGTACCAATAGGAAGAGTGACGATTATGAATTATTATAATGACTATGCTGCCTTCCATGAGGTGAAAGTCACGTTGAGGAGAAGGAGTATGTAGCCTTTGGGGATTTGAATTAGGAGTTCTGTTTGACACAATCTGTAATCTGTGGAGAGATCCCCGTGGTAAAGCCTGTGAATACTAGAGTGCAGTAATATTGTGACGTTGTGTTACAGAACAGCCAGCCAAGGGGCAGCCCATCTCCTGGCGTCAGATCCAGATTGCAGAGAAAATACTGACGGAGTACAACAGCGAGTATTACCCGGAGTCATTATCACTGACAGTCTCCTGTAAATAGAGCATAGATTTCTGCATTTGTTAATGATTTAAAATACTATAACCATAAGATAAAGGTAAATCATAACATGAGTAATGGAGATAAATTGACTAGTTTACATTTATGCTACAAGGTTATTATGTATTTTATTGATAAATACATTTTTAGTGAATGGAAATGCTTCATTGTTTTTAATGAGCATGCTACTAAAAACAAATTCATTATATTTAAAAATAAAACAGAGGATATTTTGTTATTCAAATTATGTATTAGCTATAGTTGTGAAGCTTTGTTTTTCTCAAATTCCTAATAAATTCTATTAAATTTTGGTATAGTGGTATAAAAAGTTCATGATTAGTTAATAATATGCCACATAGGGGCGCCTGGGTGACTCAGTTGGTCGAGCGACTGCCTTCGGCTTGAGTCATGATCCTGGAGTCCCGGAATCGAGTCCTGCATCGGGCTCCCTACTCCGCGGGGAGTCTGCTTCTCCCTCTGACCCTCCCCCCTCTCATGCTGTCTCTCTCATTCTCTCTTTCTCAAATAAATAAATAAAATCTTAAAAATAATAATAATAATATCCCACATAAATAGTAAAGCCATCCATCTAAGACTTTGAAGGATCTCTGTATTTTGGAGGTGTTGCCAAGCAGTGTTAAGAAAACCAAAAGAAACTCCTTGTATAATCATGAAACTCCTTTTATGATTTTAGAAGTTTTCTCATAGAATTATGATAATCTCATATATCTTTTTATTTTCTGTCACCCATTTCTGCTTCAGGCTCTCATCTGGACTACTTACCTCTCACTCCCGGGAAGCTGACAGGTGGCATTTCTAAAGTGTGGTGGACTGGCAGAGTAAAAATCTCTCATATCAATCCCATCTTAGGGGCACCTGGGGGCTCAGTCGTTTGAGCATCCGACTCTTGGTCTCAGCTCAGATCTTGATCTCAGGGTTGTGAGTTCAAGCCCCACATTGGGCTCCTATCTTAAAAGTTTTCGGCCCTTTCCCTTTGGCCACTGGAGGGACCGTGCATATAAGGCATTCCGTATCCCAAGTCCTCCCTGCTTGCACTAATGCTCAGGCCCCTTACAGGCCCCCAGCCTGCTGTCCCGGGCCTCACCACCCACGTGCACACCATCCCCCTAGCTTGGAATGCCTCCACTGACATCTGCCCGAATCACGTTTACTCGTTCTTTTAAATTCTGCTCAGGTTGAACGTTGTCTAGTGTTTCCTAATCATCCTCTGCCACCTTTGTATAAATCACGTCCTTCGCGTGCTGGGCTGTAATGATTTCTGTGTAGTATCCCTCTTCTTCTGGGTAAAGAACTCCTGGCAGCTAGCAGTTGTCACTGGCGTCTGTGCCCTTAGGAACTAAAGTGGGGGACGCAGTGGCAGAGCAAAGGAATGAAGGAAAGGAAAACACTCAACTGTACAATTTATCAAGCCCTACTACGTGCTAGGTGCTGCTCCATGTATTAGGGAGACAGTAAAAAACAGAAGTAATTCTTTTCTTCTATCATGGAACTTACATTTTAGTTGGGAATACAGATTTCAAACCTAAGAATATGCCACCAGAGGGTTACAAAGCACGCTGAATGAAAAGCAGAGCACAGGAAGGGGCAGAGTACTGGGGTAAACGTGAGACAGATGGGGTGGCCAGGGAAGGTGTCTGAGGACTGAAGTGAAGGGGAGCCAGCCGCGGTGGCAGCAGGAGAACAGATCGGCCAGAGGGCAGGAGAGTGGGCTGTTCTCCTAGTGATTATTTCAGAGCGGGTGGGGCCCATTAGGAGGAAGAGAGGACCGGTGGTCTGGACAGGGCCTCTCAAACACTAACGCACCTTCCCGTCACCTATAGCTGGTGGTAAATGCATTTCCTAGCCTGAGAGGTCTGGGATGGGACCAAGACAATACCAGTGCTGCTGGTCCGTGGACCACATTTAGAACCACAAGGGTCTGGAGCATGACCTTGGCTGCATATTGAAATCACACGAGGAACTTTAAAAAATATTGAAGTCTGGGTTACCCCAAGGTGCAGTTTGAGCATTTAGATTGTTTAAATCTCCCCAAATTGTAATGAGCAGCCAAGGTTAAGAAACAGTGGTCTAGAAGCAACAATGGGAAACAAGTAATGGGGCTGGGGATCCCAAACCCAGCCTGCAGCATAAGGACCGCCAGCAAACAGCCAGTCTGGGCACCCTATCCGGCCAGTGGGCAACTGTTCTGCTTTGGGCATTGGCTTTCTGGGCTCCCCTCCGTCCCCAGTCTATCACTGAAATTGCCGGACTACATGACTGTTTAACTGTTGGTGGTGGTCAGGTGTGTTGGAAGAGATTCGTGGAGCTCTGACTGGGAGCAGGTTTGGCTTTGCTCCACACCAGCAGTAGATGCATGCCCTTGCCATTCCTTGTTTCATGTGTTCCGTATTTCGTACTGTTCATGTGCCGAGCGTTTGCTGCAGTCTCTGAGTATGGCGTGAGTATGAAAATAGCCCTTGTGTGGTCAGATTCGCTGGGGTCCACATTTCCAGGTTAGAAGTAGCCGAAGGGGAAGGTGGAAGTAACAGGAAGTGGCTACTCTTAGCAGGTCACCGTGGTTGCTCACGGGGGGACAGGCTGACTCAGGGTGCCCGGCTTCTGCACTCCGCAGCATCTTCCAGCAGCCCCCGGCCCACTGCCAGGCGTAGGCTGAGACCCACGGAGACTGCATCACCCAAGCTCCCTCCTCCTCACTAACGCAGGCCAGATCTGACCCCTGCCCCTGTGCTCTGCACCTCCATCCTCCCGTCTCAGACTCTCATTCTCCAGCTCCTCTCATAGTTGGTAAAATGTCATTCTTGTAACAAATCCCCAGTCCCGCAATTCTTACAGCAGCTGTGTTTTCCTGATTAACACAGTCTGATGGAGGAGACACACGTGGGAGAGGAATGACATTCTGAATTCTGAAAAAAAAGCTTCAGAGTTAGCCAAATGGATATCGTTCATTTGGCTAACTCCTGGTGAGAAGAGCCTCCCAGGTCTGGATGAGACAGAGCCCGGAGACAGGGAGGAAGCAGGGCCCGAAACACCGTCCTGGTAAGGGCCCCAACCACACGGGCTCCGTCCTTTGATCACTGGTTCCTCCTGAAGAGTTTTCACCAGAAGCCCTAGAGCCTCCCTTTCAGCTCGGCAAACCTGCAGAGCTTTCTTGGTACTCAGAATTATCTAGAAAGAAATTTCAAGTAAAGAACTTGAAATACAGATGCAAACAAATTAGAATTTATAACTATGCTCTCAAATCTGAATGTTTAATGAAATTTTAAAATGGATATTTCCAAAATGGGAATTTTACCTTTCAGAGAGAAAGGTCCTGATGAAAGCCACACGAGGACTGAGGTCAGTGGCCCTGGGAGAACTCAGCAGGATTCACAGAACGTGTCATTTTCTGACACGGTGGCTGGCTGTGTAGCTGCAGGGTTTGGGCAGGCGTGTGTCCGCTGCTTCTTCGCATTTCTAGGAGGAGAGACAGGACAGCACCAACAGCCGCAGAGACTAAGAGGACTTTTCTTCTGTTTCTCTAGTACTGGACGCACACATCTGCCGGGACCATTCCCAGGAAAGCGAGTGAGCAACAGAACTACTGAATACGTGTCCCGACCCGGGGCTGGAGAGCAGCGAAGTCCAGCAGAGCTCCGAAAAGACCCAGCTCTGCACACAAATGCAGGCAGAGACCCAGGACGGTCCACTGTGAGTGGGGCAAACATGTGTTCTTCCCGAGTTCCCGGTGCTGCTTGGCAGCTGTAGACGGGATGATTGAAATAGATGTGAAATAGACATCTCTATTGATTAAACCTGTTACTGTAACTTGTGAGAACATTTTACGAAGAATGGCATTTTGGATTTTTTTTAATTGTCCATTTTGGTATAATACAGAGTCCCAAAGTTGCCACATCCCCCAAAATGGCCCTTGGTGGCAGCATTAGAGCCGAGGTCAGCCCTCTGTGTGGTGGAGGGAGGCCCTCCTATGGCCCTGGGATCACGCTGTGTCTTCCAAATCGAACAGGTGGCACTTTTGGAATTCAGAAGAAAAAAAAATTCATTAGGAGGTAATGAATCGAAAGTAGAAATTGCAAGGTGTTTTTTTGGAATTGCAAGTTTTAAGGGAGCAAATTATTGTAGCCTTTTAATGACACTGCTCACTTGTGGTTTGCGAAGCTTGGTGTGGGAGTGGGTCACCGTATCCTACCACATACTGTGCACGTGCTGTTATTTCATCCAGACAGGCAGCCAAAGAGCAGCTTTTTATCTCTGGTGACAGATGAGCGCAGGGGCTCAGAGACGTGCCACCCCCCCAACTTGGGGTCACGTAGCTGGTCAGTGGTGGGATCACGGTGCAGACCCAGGTCTGTCTGCAGCCCCCATGTTCTTTCTGTGACGCTCTACAGGGGGAAATGGGAACTACTGGACCAGATTAGAAGAGGAAAGGAAATAAAAAACTTTTTGTACTTTCCTATTTTGGGGGGAGAAGCCTAGGATTTAGGAAGGCAACAGAAAAGTTAAAGCTCAGGTTTTAAACAACAGAAGGCTGCATATGCCACTACTAGTAAATATTTGGGGAATTTTTTATGCCATCAAGATACAGTTTTGTGAATTGGGATATTATTTATAAAATGACATTCCAGTGGGGTAAGCAGGCCGAAGGGCTATGCTGTGACTTCTGTGAAGCCTCCCAAGCAGTTCAAATTAAAACTCAGCTTTATTTTTTTAGAAAGCAAGGGTTTGTTCTTGGGTGCTACCACCGCTGTACTCAGCATGCAAAGCCCGCCGTCGCTGCCACCGTCGCCTCCACAACCCTAACTGTAACCTTCCATCTGTGTCCCCAGGAATGCCTCTACCAACAAAGGGTCGCTTAAAGTAGTGGGACTTGGTCAAGTCTGAGCAGACAGGCTTCTCCGGTGAGCTTGAGCAGGACAGGTCTTTATTCTCCTAGTACTTGAACATCATGACGTCACCCTTCCGTGAAACTGGGGCGACCAGAATCCCTCCAGAGAGAGGCGCTGGGACCTTAGCGGAGCCAGGAGGGGCCACTGACAATGACAGAGGTACGTAGAGATTGTTGTGAGATACAGCGGAAGAGAACATAGCTACAGAAGCGAGGACTAAGTGAGGGTGTGATTCCGCATCTACATTAAATATGTAACATATGACATCACAGATACACGGAGGAAAAATGCCTCATACACTGAGTTTTACGTTTTAGGGAAAAGGACCTCTTTCCAAGTGAGAAGGTAAGTCTTCTCAAATTTCCTCTTCATGGTGTACATGGCCATGGGAATGGACAAGCCCGGAGCCTGGTGTGTCCGCCGCCTGAGCAGCCGGTGGTCGGTATCTCGTGCTGGTTCTGCCCTTTCCAGAAAGGGGCACTGCCAGGACGGAGCCTATGGTGCCAGACCCGAGTCACAGGCGTGAGCGTGAATGCACGCACACCCAGACCTGTGCGCACACGTGGGCCTCCTCGACCTGTGCCCTGGGAGGGCCTGGCACTCAGATCATGTTCCCTAATGAAAGGAACTCAGGTTCTGGGAGAAGTCACTGATTCCAGGACTGTGCAGAGGAAATACAACATGGGCCTGCAGGAAGGGTGTATTAAATGAAATAAACAAATAAAAGTGGGACATTCCAAAATGTCCTGCCTGTCCACAGGGGCAATCTGACAGTGATCCCAGCAGCAACAAAATAAATAATGATGATATTAGATTATAGCCCAAAGAATAAAACAAATATAAATCCATACTGATATAAACAAATGATTGCATAAGTAGATGGGGAAGAAGGAATGACTTCTTTACAGAAGGATTCCAGCACATATGGAAGAAATGAGGACATAGAAAAATCACCGTTACAAAGCTACGCAATTGTTGCAAACAAGACCCACAAACAGATGCCAAAATTAGCTTGGAGGAGAAAAAGGACATCTACATTGCCTCAAGGTATGTCCCCCAAAATTTTCATTAATTACAAGGAGAAAAAGTCCTTTTATAGTAGTGAGACCTGGCAGATCTCACCCGAACATAAGCAGTCTACGTCATAATTACCAGTAAGAAAACATTTCAAAATCATGCTGTGACCCCTGATGCAATGCAGTGAAAAGGGTGTAACTTCAATCAGGAGAAAAGCATCACAGAAACTTAGTCAAGGGACATTCCACACAATGCCCCCACGGGTACCTTCCACAACTGTCAAGGTCATGAGAGAAAAGGAATAAGAGAGGAACTGTCGCAGATGAGAAGAGACTGGAGGACATAAAATACAACGTGACAGAGTAGGGACAGTAGTGGGGAACTGCTGAAACCCTAACAAAGTCTGTAGCTTAGGTAATAGTCTTACAACGTCTGTTTCCAAGTTCTGATGCCTCTGCCATGGTTCTGCAAGATGTTAACAGTAGGAGAAGCTGGAACAGGAATATAGGAACTCTGCACTATTACGACGAGTCTTCCGTGGGCCTAAAATTACTCCAGAAGAAACACTGATGGGCGCCTGGGGGGCTCAGTCTGTTGAGCATCCAACTCTTGATTTTGGCTCAGGTCATGATCTCAGGGTCATGGGATTGAGCCCCAGGTCAGCCTTCACACCGGGCGTGGAGCCTGCTTATGACTCTTTCTTTCTCCCTCTCCCCCGAATCTCTAAGGAAAAAAAAAAAAGGTTAAATTTTTAAAAACTCTCAAAATATTTAAAATCTTTTGTTGTACCCTATGTCCCAATTTTTGGTTCAGAACAAATACCACTATAATTATACAAAACATTAAGACATACACTTCGTAGTTTCTTAAAAATGTATTAAGCACTTATGTACATATATGGCATTTTAATATGGATTATATTGAATTAATCATTGAGGTCATCCATTTGAAAGCCAAAATCCAAGTCAAGCTGAGGGATATTGCAGAAGAGAAACATCACTGTTGCCATCGTAGCAGAAGAGCGACAGGTGCTTGATGACGAGGCCGGATGCCCGCTGTGTCTCCAAGCGACAGCAGAGGGGAGCCCCATGGACGGGAGGCCCTGGGAAGGAATCCTCAGGGCTCCTGGAGGCCCCTGGGCAGTAGCCTCCCACACAGGGGCGCTTCTCTTCCCCTCCACTGGGTTCTGGCATATGTCTCATCAAAATGAAAACGTAACCCCTTTCGTGGTAGGGGCAAAATCTGTTAAGTACGGATCGCTTGAAAGAAACAAAAAGCCTACATGCCAGGAAAAATGACTTTGTCTTGCAATAAAGACCCTTCCCCTGTAGTAACAGTGAACGGCGTTTGAAAGCTTAGGTCAGAGGTTGTGCCACGCTGTGTATGAGCAGGATCTCCTCTCATCCCGGCAACCGAGTGAGCCAGGAACCAAGTTGTTGTGGGCAGGCTCCGTAGGGAAGAGCTGAGTCATGTGCCCAAGGTCACAGAGATAGGAAAGGATCTCTCCGGGAGTGAAGCCAAAGTCTGTTTGACTTGAGAGCTCACTTAACCCCTGTCATGGACAGCCGGCTCCCATGGCAGAGCAGAAGTCTCTAGATGATTTGGGGCATAGCTACAAGATCAAAACCTTTTACAAACAAGCGCATAGGCCATTTGGATGGAGTTTAATTAGCCGCAAGAGTACGTAGGTCAGGTTGAAACTTGAGTCTAGGTCCGTTAGCTTTTGTAGACCACACGTGGAATGTTCTAGGCACCCTGTGTCCTTCATGCTAATGGCGTCGGGGTGGTTACCTGCTAACTGGATTGCAAACAAAACTCCTTTACCTCTTTGGTGAGATTAGTAAGAAAGGAAGAACAAGAAGGATCTAGTCTCAGCCTGCATTTCTCAGGTTCCTATCATCCCCCAAGTTTTCTGGGGGAAAATATTTGGAAACCTCCTCCGAAGGTCATCCTCGGAAGTCCCCTCTCCTTTGCTTCTGTGGTTATGTGGCAGAGCGTGACAGTCCCTAGGCCCAGCCAGTCACAGCAGTCTGCGTGGGGTTTGCTCCAGGGGTTGGATGGCTGCCTTCCTGCAGCCCCCGTGGAAACCCAGGGTGCGGGTGACGCAGAGAGCATGTCGGAAGTGATCCCACTCCAGCATCTTCCCACAGCGCTCAAATGTGCTCATGTACGAAACATGTACTTGAGGCACTGCACGTGTGACAGGCATGGCCACAGCTAGAGATGGAAAATGAGCTCGGCTTCCTGGGGAGAGATGTAGGCACTCACTGTAAGGGGACTGGCCGTGGTCCCAAAGGAACACAGAGGAGAAAGCGGTCCTCCACTCAGCTCTGCTGGGAAAATCAGGATATCGGGGATTGCCTGTGAGTTGGGGCTCTCCAGGCAGAGGGAAGAGCGTGTGCAACTTCAGGGAGCGCAGCAGGACCACGGCTCAGGCTGTGCGTCCGGGGAGGCAGGACCCCAGGCTGAACTGTCCAGGGTGACTTCCTGCTCTCTGTCTCAGCGCACGTCTTAGTCTTCAGTCTGTGCCACCCAGTAGGTCCTTAAATAACGGGAAATTAACAGTGCGAGAATGCATTTAACTGCAATTTCCTGT